TTTGCGAGGTTTGCGCTTTGGCCCCGGACCTGTCTGACAGAAAGCACTGGTCCGTTAGCTGATTCAAGTTCCCCATGATCCCCACCCCTAAATCGTCGTACGGCCTTTTGCTACTGGTACCTTAATGCTTACTAGTGATCCCTTAGTGATTCGACATCGTCTTCAGCCTCGCTTAGGTAGGTTCGAGCCGCCTGGTCGTTGAAGAGACACTTTGCCGCCTTTAGCAACGCCCATTGGGCGAGTACTGACAATGGACTAGATGCATTTGTTACTTCTGCGACTAGAGATGAAAATGGTTTCCGTTTCTTTTTTCTATTTTTCTTCTCTTTTCGATATCAATCTAAATCAAATTTCAGAAAAATCCACACCTTAATGTTTAACGATGTTTGCCCCCCAGATCTAAGCAAAGAATTGAGACAATTTCTTTCCAAAAAAAAGTTCGTCAGAAGTAGAATTACGCTAGGTATCAGTCGACCATGTCCCACTAGCCGTTCGCACGACCTTTTCCCTTAATCGGCAACGCATCGTGGATGTTTTCAGTAAGTTAACCGTCTTCGGCGATTTCCTGTTGACTTACGCGAAAAATCAAAGAGGATGAACTCCGCTGTTTCCTCACAGTGACTAGTTAGCCAACAATATTGTATAAGTGCATAATATTTGTACTCCTCTTGTACGCTAGTTGCTTCATATATTAATCCAACTCTCCTCTTTGACGTCGATCTTATATTTTCTGCTCAATTTTGGCCGACCTGGTCCAGTGACTCCCGATGACCATTCTGAGCACATAGCTACCTAGAGCCATTCATTCTGAGATCTGATTAGTGACCATGCGCTGCTATTCCCTTCCATCTGATCTGCCAGTAGTATTCATTAACGTGAGGCATCAAGTCAAGCTCGCTGCTAGTATCCAACACCCGCTACGGTATACATACGTTACGTTAAATTACATGTTTCCGTTCCTATGCATATCTGACACTGGCTTTCAGGCTTCTTCTCGAATACCACAGTGATCATTACCGTCGGCGCCCTTTACCAATCAATGAAAAGATGTCTATGAAAAAGGTCAATCCTCAACCCAAAGATGACTAGTTAGCCATTGGCGATCGAAATGCGCCGGCGCGACTGTGTCTAGTACAAAGGCAGACGAACAACGGGGAAGTAACCTGTACCAATAAAATGTCAAATGCTCCCCGTCGGCAAAACGCCTGCAGAGATCTACCACGGGCCGCCGCTGCTCTTGTTAGCGCTGTTGTGGCTGTGTCCTACGAGAATTCTTTTTTCGTTTATGTTTCCTGACAAGTAAGTAAATCATTGAATGAACAAGCGCCACCATCAGTAACGCTGTCATTCATACGAGATGTTGTATGTTCTATTTTTCCTCTCTCGACTTCTATCAGCTGGTGCACTTTGTCTCTAATAGATAGACCATATAAGCTCCTTCAATATGTACGCGAATTTTCACTCCACAGCGAACACCCATATCACAAAAGCAATAGCTTAAGGATATTAATGCCCAGCCAGCGACACCGGTCGCGGGCCTTAGCGAACAGCCCGCGGCAAAACACGTTTGAGATGGCAGAGAAGCGGATGATTTTTTGCTCTGGGTGCACCCACACCACCATCATTTTTATTGCAGCCACAACTTACATGTAGACAACGGCAACTTCAAACGAGTGTTGTTTTTGTTATGACGTATAATGATGCTCCGCGTGCACGCTTAACGCAGTTGAAAGAAAACTATTTTTGCTAACTTACTGACGATTGTCAATAGATCGAACAAACACAACAACAGCAGCAACAAAAAATAAGCAATAACTGAACTTACTTAGCCAATTGAAATTCTATCAGCCGGATGCAGACGGATCTGCGAGATGAAAATGCACGTAATCATACATACGTATGTTAATCTCACAATGCAGAAACAGTTTCACATATGGGTCCTCCGTACACATATAAACAATCGTTTGATGTCTGACGCAATCGAGATTCTCCTAGCGTTACTCCTTTTCGGTAAAATCTAACTTTTGATCAACATGTGTATTTTACCGTCCTTACGGGATCGTCGCTGGTTCATGATGACAGCTGTAGAAGATGACTGGGTTATGATTTATCAGAAAATTTCCAAATACAAAATGACAGCGTCTTCAGGCTATGAAATACTGGCTCATGTTTCTTTTTGCGGAAAAAATTAAAACCCAAGCACCGAACCGGAAAACGGAAGATCTCTACTGCTGGAGATCAGATCTCGATTCAGAATCGCTTCATCGTCATCTGCGTAATCATCACGCGTAATACGCAGAAAAGTTCCTGTAGCTGTATAAACTGCGGTACGTCATCCGTAAAATTCTGTGTAATCAAATGTCCGGAACGCGTACGCCTTTCAGAGAGTACAAACAAGAGAAGTAAAAAAAAAAAGCACACAACAACGACCCCTATATATTTTCCAAGGACGATTATATTGATCGAAACTTTGGAAGAACACCAACATTTGGTTTTTGTCGTCATAATATCCTGTTCAGCTCGTTCTATTCGATTACATGTACAGCCAGTATACAACAATGTGCTCTATAAAGGCACGCTCATGCAAGGTTCAAGCAAATGCTATTCACGGCAGCAACAGCATAGATAAAGTCTGCCTGAGACGTAGTAATCTCAGCATTATCAGCGGGTGCAGAAGAGGTAACGCCCCCCTTGCACAGCGGGGTAGCCGATGGTAATCCGTTCACTCGTTTCGTGCTGCTCCTACTGCCGTAGTTGTTATTGTGCAGGCGAACTGCCTTCGCCGACATGCAATTGAGTGCCGCCATCAGCCCGAATTGTTGAAAATAGCGCACAATCATCGGACAGATAAATAGGGTAGACAAGAAGAGCACAAAGTGGCCCTGACTCACAGTCTTTTATCATCCCCACGATTAAACTTGCTACAATATAATAATGCTCTTACTTGAGAACCTTGGGATCACCTTGCTGTCGGAAGAAACCAAAAATCGAGTACCTGTACGACTGTGTAGCCTTTACGATTGAAGTGGCAACGGTGGAGCGTTTTCTGAGAGTACAATGCACAACAACGGCAGAGAAAAAGCTGAAAATTAAGCAACCCCTTTTTCTGTGCGCTTTATTTTGATGTCTAGTTTATTCACGGCCAGTACTATCACTGAAGCATAGGGTTGGATCTGTCAGGGTTTTTCATGGTTGTAGTGGCTGGCGGTACCACAATCTTAGGGATACAGTAGCAAACCTCTTATTGAGGAAGGTCTTATTTTAGCCATCTTCTCTCCTTCGCCTGCACTTTTTTGCAATATTATACTGTTTAAGGCATCCCATAGTGAACTGCAATGCTGGCCCATAGGACAGCGGTGTCTAAAAGAAGATAAGAACATAACCTAAATTAGACCTCCAGAAATCATCCACCCATACCTAAGCTGCGGGTGATGCGGAAACAAAAGGAAATTCCACAAATGATACATCCACCATGTCGCATTGTTGGCGCTACTGCTTCTTCTGCAATGTAAACGCACACCACACACGTCTTGGTGCTCGCTAAAGTGCCTACACGCAGACTCCTGCGGCTAATATTGAAGGTGTTGGACAGAGTCGAATTCGCTGCTATAGCAATTTGAAGCGCAATTTCCGACTGTCTCATGAGCGGACCCCGCTTGCCGTAAACGGCAGACTGCGGTTTCGCCCACTACGTACATTTTTGCATATACACGTTTATAGCTAAACATATAGACGAGTACATGTAAGAGACCGCTTGTATGTGCGTGTATGTCGACACTGTCCAGGCTGTGTGTGTTCTGGTCCTATAAGTGCCTTGAAGCGTTTTACAGTGTTTCTCTTCAATCCTATTGGGTTAGGCTGTTCGCGTCTAACAAAGGTAGAAAAAAGCCTCCGGCATTCATCCAGCGAATTGCCGTATGTTCTTCGCCTCTACAACTGCTTGAGTTTTTTTTCTTTCGCCTTTCATTGCTGCTACGAACGTCATGCGCTATTACCGGTGCCAAAACACACAGGTTCCTCATAGCCGTACGTTCATTAGCGTGCACACTCATACTGAAGCTCTTTCGCACATATTGAAATGTTCGATGCGAGCGGCGCTTGGGTATCGACACCGACAATGGCCAGCGCACAGGACCTTGAGCTGCGAAGCCACAAGCAAAATCATTACCATGTATCTTCATGAACGTTAAGAAGGAAAACAAAAGGCTACGGAAAGCCAAAGTGAGTATGGCAGGTTCACCACCGCAACAGAAAGACAAACGTGGTAGTAGGCGCTAGAGGCTCTTCTCTCACCATTTTGACATCGGCAGAGCACTGCGCCTGCACCTTTATCATCTAGAAGTTGCGGGCACTTAATGAAGTGTGTGAATCGCTTTTGCTAGCGATGGCCGACTGATAGCGACGTTATAACGTTGTGTGTTCTAATGCCTAAATACGTGCGCGGTGGATGCCTACGAACGGCCGCCGCACAGAAAAGAAGCTGGCCAAACGGAATACGCAGTCAATATACATGAAACCGCGCGAATAAGCACCTGTGATCTAAGAGAAAAATATAAGAAATGTATGACCTACCCCTCATATGTCCTAGGTGACTTCCAACTCATTTTTAGCATACAAAAGGCTGACTAAATGCGCCTTCATGTTCTTGCTAATAGAATACATCTGGTGAATTCATTGGTACGATGTACGAAAACAACACGCACAAACGAATACGTACCAGTTATTGCAGAAATGAATGAAAAA